AACTTTTCATAAAAATAATCTACCAGACTGCTCATGTGCTTAGAGTTAAGCATGAGCTTAAGAAACTTTCTGAATGAGGCCTAAGTGTTCAGTGTCTTGCAGCACTGAGCCTTTCAGTTTTCAAATGTAAAAGCCTTTTTAGGACATCCAAATCCCATAATAGAACACAATCTTCCTTTTATGCACGTAAAACTATTTTAAACTTTTCATAAAAATAATCTACCAGACTGCTCATGTGCTTAGAGTTAAGCATGAGCTTAAGAAACTTTCTGAATGAGGCCTAAGTGTTCAGTGTCTTGCAGCACTGAGCCTTTCAGTTTTCAAATGTAAAAGCCTTTTTAGGACATCCAAATCCCATAATAGAACACAATCTTCCTTTTATGCACGTAAAACTATTTTATGCCCAAGATGCAAAGGCCCCATCTAGATTTTACCAAAGTGGAACTACTCACATCAAAGTTGAGCTGCTGCTTAAGTGGTTTGCTGGGCTGTGATTTTAGGGACAGACTTTGTCCCCCACACTCCCATTGGGAAAATGTATAAGAATACAAGAAAAATAGGACTTTTTGTAAAGAACTGCATTACTTAGCTATTTTAGGTCATTATGTCTGCCCCATGAAACTAGACACTTTCCTACATAAGGAAACATAATCAAAACTGGAATAAATTGGCATGGCGGCAGAGGCCTACAAATTTAAAGTTGTACACTTGTAACTCTGTAGTCTTAGGCAGTTCAGAAATAACCTGCATTGCACAGGAATAGTTTGCACTTCCCACTAGCCTACAAAGTCTCTTCACTTCCCAGAACATGTTATTCTGGGGCAGGAAAAAGCATTTCCCCCCCTGAACAGTATGCTTTGCATAAGTGGTTCCCAGCCTTTTTATGCCGCAGACCGGCAAACCCATTTACAAACTTTTGGCGGACCGGTAACATTTTATTTGTATATTCATTATATAAATAATGAATATCCAGAAATATGCAAGTAAAATGTTACTGGTCTGCAAACAGTTTGTGAACGGGTTTGCCGGTCCATGGTATAAAAAGCCCCAGTGCCAGTCCCAACCCCTAGAGCCCCCACTCCTCCATTACCTCCAAGCACTAGCTGTTATATCAGCAGACCTGTCCCTGCCAACTTTCTGTGAGCAGGACCTGCCTTTTTGCTTTATGTTAGCAAAGCTTTGACTGTTGTGCAATGTACTTGTTGCCCAGCACAAGTAAAAGTCAAGTTGAAAAGCTTTCCTAAAATCTTATCAACCAATGCCATGAAATCATCAATAGTCTTTCACACAGGGTCATATTCAAAATAAAACCTAGCGTATATAGCCAAGGTCCTGTCTCAGAAAGTCATGCTTTTTATGGTTACTTGAGAGAAAAAGAGAAGGTTGCTTAGTTTTTATGTATAATAAATCCATCTTCTCAGAAGTTTTCTTTCACTATATTAAGTGCTGTGGCATTAAATCCATGACTCCTATTGACTTTAGTAGAGGTCACACACCTGAAAACCTCATGTAGCACTTTGTGAATTGTACTTAGCTGTTTCCATGCTATACTTTTTCTCTGAAACCAGCTCTTAATGTCTTAGAAGGGTTTGCAAGTAAGTTTCCAAGGTATTTACATTCAGCAATGTAGAGCCCACAAAAAGCCTGATTCTGCTCAGCTTTGCACCTGATGGAGTTATTTACACTTGTGTAAAGTACAAGTAAAACACTAGCAAATCAGAATGGTTGTTTCTGCATCCCTTTGCATAGGTGTAAATGATAACAGAAAATTCAGGATTGTTAAAAATCAGACCCTAAATTTCTACCAGTTTACCAGTAAGTAAAAATAATAAAGAGTAAGATTATGGCTAATGGGTAATACCTTTGCGACATGTTATAAAACCATTAAGCTTCATTGTACATAGGTATTGTTGTTTATCATTATAAAAATCGGATAGGCTATTGAAAGTAATATCTGCATGCCTTGGTTGAAATCTATAATATTCTAATCATTACCATATCCCAACTAATGTTATGGTCTCTTCTAAGCTTTGAGAGTCATTTCATTTTTTTATTTCAACTTAGGCTTACCTTATGGATGGGAAGAATCTTATACAGCAGATGGAATCAAGTATTTTATCAAGTGAGTAGTATCATCAAAGCCACATAAACAGTTTATCACACGTGGAGGAAAATAAGCAGAGGGGTAAAAAAACCTCTAAACTTTCTAAACAATACATTCAATTCAGTAGCATGACCAGAAACATCATCTCTTTTATATACATCTTATTAGTGACATTATTTATACACTTTTTAGGGGCCAATTTATATAATTAGATGGGGGTTTTCAAAGAATTCTAGTGGAGTTAGGTATCCAAATCCTATTGAAATTCACTGGGAGTCAGGTCACTAACTCCCAGACTCGTCTTGGGCACTTCATAGTGTTTGACCCTTAACAATGTTATCTGTAAGGATGGGAAAATCCCATCCTTACAGCCGTTAAAAAGTTCATAGGCTCGAACATTCAAATGCTAAAATGAAAATAATCAATGTTAAAACTGGTTGGAGGGCCTCCACACTCGGAGGACATCATGCAGTACTCAATGATTTTGGTGGCTCTAAATGTAGAAGTTCTTCCTATAGTAATGCATAAGCCTCAGAGCTCTCTAGATGCCTGTATTGAACCTGTTATTTGGCACCTGTGCCACATACAGCGCTTCAGCAAAACCCCAGAATCCTTTTTAGCATCTGCAGTTTTTCCTGGACCACCAGATAGACAATTCAGTTATGCAGCTTCGCAACTGTGCATAATTTTATTCTCTTCTATGCAGATATATCTGAATACCTCCCAATACTGCAATTTTTTCATGGTTTCCTCTATAGTGTTTCTACGCCTCCTTCCCCTCCCCCATCCCTCCTTTTTTGCACCTTTTGTCTTATTTTTTTCTCTGTCATCTACCCACATTCACATCCGTCACCATTTCTGTGGGGATAAGACCGCTTTGCACATGCGGAATGAAGAGGAAAATGAATTAAGGATGTTAAACAACTTCTGACTCGAATCTTTTCTGTGTGAAAAGTCTTCAACACACTTTGTAGGCTCGTCATTTAGACCTGGTCTATATTATACCAGGAAGGTCAGCTTAAGGTACACAACTCCAGCAACGCAAAGCTGAGCCCTGGTGGCGTTGGCACGGTGAGAGGCCGATGGGAGCAAACGCTCCCATTGGCTTCCCTTACTCCTCACAAAAGGAGGATTACCCGACATGGCCGAGAGCTGCCCTCAGCATTCAATTTATGCCCTTATCTTCTATATCATGTATTTCGTCAAGAGCTGCCTAAGAAGGAGTACTGGCTAGATTTACAAAACTAATCCATTTTCCTTTATAGCCACACAAGTGTTTAAAGAGTCTAGATGCTGACAGACACTGTCTAAACCTAATCAGCTTCCATCTGCAATCCTTTCACCCAGAAAACTGCACGAGAAAAAGGATTAACATGTCAGTCAGTTTCTCTTTGTAACTAGTCTTGGCAGAATGACCTTTACCATGTGGTACCCACTGTAGCTGCCCATTCAGCCTCAATCTAAAACCATCCCTGATGTGTCAGAAAGTGATCTTGTTTTTGTAGAAAATGGATTTTTGTAGCCAACTTTGTATCTGGAATTAAGCTGCTCTGTTGTTGTAATGGATTGAAAGAGCAAAGTGGAAGGCATTTCATAATAATTATATAGTAAGCAAGAGAGTCCCAAATGTCCTGCCATTGATTTAAAAGAGAAGTTATTACTTGCTAAGCTTTACACTTAAGATGTTAATCATATGCTCATTAACTTAAAATCACAGAGTTCTCACAATCAAATTTTCACTGCCTTTAGATTAGCCTATCGTTACTCACTGAATATTACATTGAAATTGGGCCTGCTACCAAGATTTTTTGTCATATTCTTTGTGCAATTCAATGCTTGTGAGTGCAAATACTTTAGCCATACTAAAAATTTCTGCTGTCTGTATGCATCTTGAGTAATTTAAGCATAAGGAAAAGAAATAATCTGATTCAATTTCTGTTATTTTAAGAAAAATATGTATATGCCTGTCTCCTCATTACCATATTTTGCTCTGTGCATTGTGTAACTACCGTTCTCTAAAAGGCCAAGGTGCGCATCATCTCCATTATATTAATGTTACCAAAGGTGAGCGGGGTTTGGAAAAAAAACCCAAATATGCTCTAGGTTATTATTGGTTAGTTAAATCTATTCATTTTGCTAATCAGCAATGCATCATCATTTCAATGTGTGCAGCATAGTGTAGCTGTTATAATAGGAAGTGTATTTATACTACCAAAATAAGGTTAAGGAAAAATATGTATTGCCAAATGTCAGCTACATTTGAATGAATTTTCAGACAATCCGCCTGAGAGTAGAGGACAGTGACATTGAGATGTTATAATACAACACTGTATTAATTAAAATGACAAGCTCTACAAAGCTTTATATGTAGTCACCCTCTGCAGGGAGACTAGAGCAGAACGATCAGGCCCTGCTTGTTATTTGCTCGTAGGCTTTTCTTAATTACAATCTTTCCTTAATGATTTTTTCAGAAAGATTAAAAGGAAAAAGTTAGTGCAAGTGCAATATTTTCAACAAGTGAAGGAAAGGTGATAATATTTTTGAACCTAAGGCCAAAGCATCCAATAAGATACATATACTGTAGCATCACACAGATAAAGAATCAAAAAATACCTTATTGATATAGGATGCCAACGTGATTAGAAATCATATGAATGAACCCTAAGTCAAAGCCCATCAGTATTAATGGGAAGATTTCTACTGGTGTTAAAGTGGTCTTTAGATCATAGAATCATAGAATCCTAGGGCTTGAAGAGACCTCAGGAGATCGAGTCCAGCCCCCTGCCCAAAGTAGGACCAACCCCAACTAAATCATCCCAGCCAGGGCTTTGTCAAGCCAGGACTTTAAAACCTCTAGGGATGGAGATTCCACCCCTTCCCTAGGTAACCCATTCCAGTGCTTCATCACCCTCCTAGGGAAATAGTTTTTCTTAATATCCAACCAAGACCTCCCCAACTGTAACTTGAGACCATTGCTCCTTGGTCTGCCATCCGTCACCACTGTGAACAGCCTTTCTCCATCCTCTTTGTAACCTCCCTTCAGGAAGTTGAAGGCTGCTATCAAATCCCCCCTCACTCTTCTCTTCTGCAGTCTAAACCAACCCAAATCCCTCAGTCTCTCCTCATAGGTCATGTGCTCCAACCCTCTAATCATTTTGGTTGCCCTTCGCTGAACCCTCTCCAATGTGTCCACATCCTTCTGTAGTGGGGGCCCAGAACTGGACATCCTGCTGCCCACGCCACCCAATTTCCAGGCGGTGGCTCAGGTAGCAGGATCCTATTTACTCAAAAGTAAAAACTCCATTTTTTCTATTAAGTACTTGCACAGAGTAAGATATTGATGCATGTAATTTGGGTTGAAGGAAACCTTAGGGTCAGTGAAGGCTTCTAGGTATCAAAGCAAGACATGGTGACTCCAGATTCCCTTGCCCAGAGAGGAGTCCCTATGTATGCAGTTGGTTTGGTTCAATTTTGATTATCTAGAAAAGGACACAAAGGAGTAAGTTGCATTGCATTTTCCTTGCCTTCCTGATCTAATCAGCTGTGATGCCTTCTGCTCAGAAAGGTCAGTAGAAGCCTTTCTACTTCATTTCTCAGTGAGTAAGAGCAAGATAATATTTTAGCTGAGTTCTCTGATCGAACTGGAAGATTGAATGTGTTTGTAAGAGAAAGAGATTTGTCAGGAATTGGTTTATGTTAACACTATAAGACTTACTCGGCATTGCCCCAGTCCTTCAGAGCACGGGGGAGGGGAGGGCACAGGGCTGCTGAGGGGCACAGGAGTCAGGGCAGGGCCTTGGGAATATGGGGGGGAGAGAGGACAAAAGGCTGGGGACATGAGGGTGAAGGGGTCAGGGTGAGGGTTTGAGGAGGAGCTCCAGGCAGGGGGCTTAGGAAGTGAGGGTGAGAGTGAGGAATGAGGAGGGACTCAGGGCAGAAGGTCCCATCCAATGGAACCTTTCCTCCCCCACCCCAGGCCACTTCTAGCCGATGGGGACTTCTTGCTTCCCCCAGCCAGCAGGAGCCTTCTGTCTCTTCCCCCCAATCTCCCCTGGCCAGCAGGGATCTTTTCTTTCCTCCCTGCCCTCCCCCAGCTGGCAGGGGCCTTTTGTCCCCGCCAAGCACCCTTCCGGTTGGCAGGGGCCTTCTCTCTCCCCTCCCTAGCCCCTTTCCCAGCTACCAGGTGTCTTTTGTCTCCCCCCAGCCCCTCCCCCTGGCCTGTAAGGGCCTTCCTCTCTACTCCCAGTGTTGGGGCCAAGGGCTGGGGCGGGGGGAGGTTTTGGGGTTGGGAGTCTACTTATCCAGTCTGGAAGCATGCAAGATGGTGAGTCTCAGCTCCAGCTGATCACTCTCTTGGTGGTGTGGCTGGCCTCCATGGTAACTCTGCAGGAGAGCCCTCCCCTGCTCTCACTGCCCCCAGTGGCCACTCTCATTATTGCATCTCTCCTCGCTAGGGTTGCCAGGTGTCCGGTATTCACCCGGACAGTCGGGTATTTTTGGCTCCTGCCTGGTAAAAAAAATTCAGAAAATACCAGATACCTGAGATGTCCGGTATTCTCTGAATTTTTCCCCAGCCAGGAGGCGAAAATGCCGGGCACCTGGCAACCCTACAAACATTCAACACCCAACTGCCTCCCCCCGGCCTCCAACCCCAGCCCCCATGCTTACCTGGTTCGCAAGGCTGCTGGCACGAAATGGCTGCCCGCCAAAAGACATAGGGTCTTTCCCCTGAGTCTTAGTGCTCAACTGCTCTCCTGTTTCTATCCCTGCACTTAAAGAGTACATGCTATTTTAATGCTGTAGTGTGGTGGTTGTTTTTTTTTTTTTTTTTTTTGCTTAATAAGTCCTTGGAGGTTTTTTTTTTTTTTTGTCTTTCTCAACAAATTTGGGTCCCCCCCCCCCTTTTTTTCCCCCCTCTTCAACAGTTTTTTTTCTCGGTGGTTTTTTTTGTTTTGTTTTTTTTGGGGGAGGGGGTGTTCGGTATTTTTGTTTCAACCATCTGACAACCCCACATCTCGCTGTGTCTCTTCCCTTTCTATGTTATGAAAAACAGTCCTGTTCCTGGCACTTTCCATTTTCCTGGCACATCCAAACCCTGACCTTGCTTTAACTTAGGATAAGAGGAAGCTGCATAGCAAGTTTGGTGATCCTAGCTCTTACCATTTAGGAGTTCTTGAACAAATAGAATCATTGACAGACAGATGCACATTTTAAAAATGTATAGATAGAGATTATTCTTTGCACCATTAGGTGGTGAAATGCAACTGTGTTAATATTAAGGGCTCATTCACACAGCAACACTGTCTTGCCTCTTACCAGTTAGGAGAACAGTTGGCTAATAGTATGGTTCATGTCCATTCAATACATTGTTAAGTTAATAACTGGTGAATCTTAATCATGTGCTGCCTCTGCTAGCTGCCTAATCTGGCACATTGTTCAATTCTATGAGTGATTAGGCACACATTATTTTTCTTGTGGAGAGGACTTTTACAAAGGCACAAAAGGGATGAGGAAAGCTAAGAGTGAGGCCTCTGCAGTGGGGGGGGGAAATGGATTTTTTTCCCCTGGGCCATTGTGGGAGTTATATGTAAAGTATTTGAATTTCTGTGCTAGCCAGCAAAAGCAGGAACTTTTTTTACTTACTGCTGCACTGCCTTTAACGCATCATCTGCTGCCTGCAGCTAGATATATTACAGCTGGCATGGTATTCACACTGTGATTCAGAACACACCATAAATGCTGCAGCACTCAAGTTCTGGGTTAGCCGTTGTGTTTAATATGCTGATTATTTTCAGACTGATGGAGGCTACCACAGGAGATATATACCAAGGAATGTTATAAAGAAATAACTTGGGAAATTAAAGCAAGTAGGGTTTTTTTAATAGATGTTTACATGCTTTTCATCTTCAACAAATAAAACTGATGAAGTAAAAGGTTTGTTTTGTGGAGAGTCAAATAAATTGAATTTTATATGAAACATTGAAAGTTGGCTGTTGCCACTTTAGGCCTATAAAAGGTTTGGTCCGTCATCAGGCTGAAGTGCTTTGCCTTGTGATATGCCAGGTTCTTTTTTGTGTAAATTTGAAGTCCTTGCTCCTTGTAGTTACATTGTGTTTATACCAGTGTGACTGAAAGCTGAACCAAAGCCTAAAGAAATCACTGTACCGCTGTAGCAGTTGGTTAAACCAATTGTTGCTTAAATATCTACAACTGCAACCAAATAACTGGTCACATTCAGTAGAAGTTTCACGTTTCACTGTTTTTCAATTTTCTTTTTATTTGGGTTCTGTGACCAATAGAAAGTCACAAATGCAGCTTCTTGGTTATCTGCTGCCTCTGATGAATGCTGGATCTGCTGAATGTGCTTGAGAGGATTCTATTGAGAGCAGCACTTTGCAGAAAACGTTTGCAGATGAGTAAAAGATGAACCTCAAAAGTTCAGTGGCAGGAATTCATCTGGGAAAACATCTCAGATGTTCAGATGTTTTCCGTAACATCCTTATCTTACCAAATATGGTTTTTCATACTCCCTGTCCTTATCTAGAAATGCAAAAATGGCAGCTGTCCCCATGGCTTATCTGCACTTCTTACTGCAGTCCTTACCCATCATCACATACCTCTGGATCGCCATATCACATACCTCTGTGGCAGATCCCAAACCCAGTGTTCCCACATCAGCCTGTGCAAGAGCAGCACAGAGAGGCCTTCCATGAGATGTGAAGGGAAAGAATACATACACAGTGTCTGAAACCTTTCACTCACAAGGAGCACCCTCCACCACTAGGGTTAAAGCAGCACAAAGGATGAATGTAATCACCAGGATGAATGTAATTGTATATTGTTTCTTGGGGACAAATGCAGCCTTTGCTTACTCCATTGGCTCCAAGGAGCTTGTACACAGTACAAGCCAGGGCAAAACTGGTCCTTGATAGAGATATAAGAGAATGGGGAAGCCTTTTGTTTAAAGTTAACCCTATGAAAGTTAATGATTCACTTACCTGGCAGGGGAGATACCATGAACCCAAAGGTAGTTTTCCCAGGGTGAGGCTCATCCGTTGCTTTGTAGGTGTGCTGACCCCTGCGATTTCCCCAGGTGCAGGAGTCTCAACTGCATGGTTTGTGTTGATGGAGAACTGCGTTCACGCTTTCCCCCAGGGGGGAAAAAGTAACACAGAAGCCCCCTACTGTTAGCATAGTGTGGTGCACATTTCCAGAAGACCATTACGTAAGGTTAAAAGATATCTTTTTCTGGAATGAACAGACCCTGAGGTGATTCTAATCAGCTGATCCTATTCAGCGGGATTTAATCTAATTGTTGTATGTTTAAATAGGGATTATGGTTGGTACTTACAGCACTAGCACTAATTCTGTAACCCCCTTGTAGAGTTTGGCTGTGAAGTTCAATCCTTTCTTTCTCTTTGGTATTTAGAACAGCCAAAGCCCTGAGATACTCAGAGCTATTTTACCACTCTCCCTCTCCAGTGGATACAACCACGTATAAAAACGTGCCTTGGTTGTCATGACAATGGTAATTCCTTAAATGTTGCCAAATTTAAACTCACTTTAAATTTGAATTTTGTCATTTTTTTAACATGATTAAGCTGTGGAGTGCACAAAAACTGTAATGGCTATGTTTGAATTAATTAAAATTTTATAGTTTGCTAAAGATACTTGTTTAATTAATAAGATGCTTGACATGCAAGGTTCTTTATTGGGCTGCCAGGTATTTAGGGATGTTATTTCTGTCTCTTATAAATCTCATGCAATAAACACGCTCTAGGACAGAAGCTGAATATCGCATAAGATTGAGGTAGCTTGCTGTGAAATGTCTATAAATATCTTTGAAGGGAGGTGAAACAGGATGAAGTGCATGAGAAATCAGAGTTTAAAAGAAGCAAACCAGCTGGCTTGTGTTAGATACTACAGTGAAACCCATTTGTATGAATAACTGACATGAATAAAACATTTACATGGATGCGTTCTTTATGGGTGAAATGGCTTTATATACCTGTCATTGAGAGCTGGAGCTAGAACATGAATAAAAAGTTTGAGAAATTTTTTAATCTCTCCCATTAGGGCATTTTAGTGCCTCATTAATTCATTTCCGATTGACCATGTTGTTAAGCATCGAATTGTCAAGCACTAGCAGGCATGGAGAAATTACCTTTCAAACTTCATTAATGCAGCTAAAGCTGTTATGGCAGGGCTGGGCAAGATATGGCCTGCAGGCCAGATGCAGCCTGCCTAACAATTTGATCTGGCCATGGACTGCATCTGGTCAGTTACTATTTATGTCCTGCTGCCAGTGCCACAGAATTTCCAGGAGGCGGTTCAGGCAGCCGAATCCAATTTAAAGGGCTCGCGGCTCCCGGTCACGACGCTAACCCATTAGCGGCTGGAGCCACAAGCCTTTTAAACGACCACAGCAACCCCAGGTGGCCTCCAAGGAACATGATAGTGACGGGGCTGGGAGCCATGAGACCTTTAAATGGCAGCAATTTAAATTTAAATAGCTTGCGTCTCCTAGCCTTGCCACTACTTTGTTGCCTGGCTGCCTTCCGGGATTGTTATAGCTGTTTAAAAGGCTCTGGCTCCAGCCGCTTCTGGGGTAGTGCCACGACCAGGAGCCACAAGCCCTTTAAATAGCTGCAGCAACCTCAGACGGCTACCAGACAATTCAGTATCTGCAGGGCCAGGAGCCCTCTAAATTGCTATTTAAAGCGTTCATGGCTCCTAGTTGTACCGCTGCCATGTTGCCTGGCTGCTGCCCGGGGTTGCTGTGGCTATTTAAAAGGCTCATGGCTCTGGCCATTGCCAGGGTAGTGCTGTGACTGGGAGCTGCAAGCCTTTTAGATAGGGTCCTGCTGCCTGAGCCACCTCCTGGAAATTCTGTGGCACCAGCAGCAGGACATAAATAGTAAGTGGCCAGATTCAGTCCATGGCTAGATCAAATAGGCCACATCTGGCCCCTGGGCTGCATCTTGCCCAGCCCTGCAACAGATGGTAGTATAATTTCATTAATAAGAAATGGGCAGCCCCAGATAGCTTACCAAAATTAATGGAGTGGCCCCCATGGTGAAAATTATTGCCCACCCCTGTGTTACGGCCATATCTGTAGGGTATGCCATCACCAGGAAAAGTTTAGAAGTTTAGAAGTTAAATAAAAGGTTCTTGTAAGGTTGGGTGGTGAAAAAAGAGTGTAAATTTAATTGGCTTGATTTTTTCAGGTGTCTAAAATGAATATAAATCACACCAATGGACTCATGAGTGAGGCTCAGACCTGTTCACTGGTATAAATGGGCGTGCCTCCAGTTGCTGTCAGTGACGGCTGGACTGGGTCCCAAGAATGTCTGAGGTAATATGATGCCACTTAACGTTGGGAAGAGAAAATTAGTTTTATTTCTCACCTTCATGCTGCAAATAAGTGGCACTCATTTTACAGCCATTGGTACAGATTGCACCAGTTTGGCATTTACACTCATTTTCTGACCAACATAGCCTGATATGTAAGCAGTGGTGTAACCTACATCAGTGAGTTTGAACCCATGGTTTCCAAAAGGTTTTACCAACTTACTCTAGGTCAGGGGTAGGCAATCATTTTTGATGGGGGGCCACTCCAAGAATTTGGAAAGTGGTTGAAGGCCGCACTCTTCCATTATATTAATGGAGGAAGTGTGGGGTCTGGAATGGATGTTGGGTGAAGGAGGTGGTTGTGATCAGGGGCAGTGGACTGGAGTACAGGGGTATGGGATGTGACCCAGGGCAGAGGATTGGGGTGCAGGAGTTTGGATTGTCAGCTAGGGCACGAGGGGATTGTGATCTGGGGCAGGAGAGTGGGGTGCCAGATCTGGGAGGGGATATGGATGCAGGAGGGGGCAGAGGGTTTGGGTATGTGGAGTAGAGTGGCAGAAGTGGAGGGCATAGAGGTGTGGAAGGGAGGGGCTGAGGTGCCAGAGGCAGGCTCTGGCCATGCAACTTACTTGGGTGACTCCCAGCCAGCAGTCCAGCATGTTTCTGAGGCAGCCTCCTTCCTGCTTACCATGCCCCTGCACAGGCTGGAGGGCCACGTGTGTGTGTGAATAACTACGAGCCAGAGGGGAAAGGAGTGTACACTGGTGCTTCATGGCTGCCAGTTATTCGAACAGACAGTTCCCATTGGCCGTTTCTAGCCAGAAACAGCCAATGGGATTGTGCTGGAGGTGGGGCCAGTGCCTGAAGCCTTCCTCCTCTCCCCTCCAGGCTCATAATTTTGAAAGAGAAATGGCTCAGCAGCCACTTATTTTAGTGGTATTACTTTTTTGAGCAATCAGGGAGCCTGCCTGGGGCTCCTTGCTGCATCCATGGGCCAGATCCAGTGGGTTGGCGGGCCGGATTTGGCCCACAGGTTGTATTTTGCTCAGGTCTACTCTAGCTGATGCTTAGTTGATAAATTAACCCATGTGTCTTAGCAGGCAAGGGCACGTCAGAAGCATTTGGGATTTTCCTATATAACAGAATTCGATATTGAAAACTCTTTTCTTTTCTCTGGGATTAGGACCATTTTTCTCCTCCCCATGCTGTGTAAGAAGAAGCGAATGGCCTTTACTTCCCAATTGATAAAGGTTCGGAGATCTCTAGAGTGCATAAACACTGACACTTTCATAAACAATTCCATAAGAAGTTTCCTGCCTGGTTGGCACATACATAAAACAATGCTAAATAACTTCTCTGAAATCATGGCATATGTTCAGATCTTCTGTTATTTAGGAGAAGATGGTTTGGGCATTTTGAAACTATGTCACTTTCATCTGCTGTTTACTGTCTGCGGTGAATTGATCACCTGCAGAGAGGAGGTGGAATCCAACTGCATCTCTGAGCTACAGCCAAAAAGTAGTGCAGCTATTTGATGAGGGGGAGGAGTACGGAAGCTGTATTTCAAAGGCCTCGCTGCAGTTCTGTCCCCAGGTGACTTAATGTTGTTCCCCAGCAATTCAGCCTCTCGGTCACATTCTCCCTGTTACTGTTTTTTGAGGGGGGGAAGCAATCCTGTGCAGGCCATGATTCTGCATCACTCTAGTCCTGAGTATGAGAAATCCAATTACTCAGATTCCAAAAGGATTTATAATTCCCCATGGGAATTTCCTCTCTAAAACCCAGGGCCTTGGGCACAGTTCATGTGAGCTCATGAGAACCGTCACATGCATTCTGAAATGTGTGTAGTGATCAGTTGGGAGGCATTAGTACAGAATTACTGTTTCATCTTGTTAAGAGCAAGTTCACATGCAATTCCCATTGACCTAAGTGGGAGTTGTAACCAATGTGAATTAGGGCAGAATTGGATGCTGTCATATCAACTGGCAGTAAAAGACCTCAGGGAAGAGTGATAACATTTCATCAGTACAGCCAGTGCGGCAATACGTCTTTACTCTGGCAGACTGTATTTTGATGCCATGTAATATCCCGCTAGTTGATATTGCTTGGGAAGAATCCTAGTGGAAGAACAACATAGAAATGGACATTAATTTTCTTCCAGAGCAAACTCCCCGTTAATCTCTGTCTTCCCACCGCATTTCACCTTTAACATATGGCAGATCCACCTCATGGGACTAGCACCTAAAATTAGGTATGGCCTTGCTAGTCTCCCTCCCACTGACACCTCCGTCTTGCATATGTGTACAACTTGTAAGAACAGCTGGGGATTTTGCCCCTTATAAACACTGTTTTCTTGCTGTTTAACAAAAGCACGTTTTTATTATGTTCTGACTTAGACAGAGAAAGCAGCATAACTTGTGCTTTAAATAAGTCTTTCCTGGGGACAAAGATGTGAATTCCCAAATAGTTCAGTCTTTTGGAATGCCTAGATAGACTGAGATTAGTGATTATTTGTCTAGTTTATGCCAAAGGAAGGGGTAGCACTTCTAATATATTTCATAATTCACCCAAGAGCCAGAAGTTTTCCTTGTGTGCTTAAATGACCTCGAGTGCTGCAAGGGAAGAATATTTCCTGTTGCTGATGTACATGCAAAAGGTTTTGTGTATAAATTGAGACGTGTTAGTTTCTTTTTTGTGCATCCCACTGCTCTGTAAACCTATTCTGTTCCATGTCTTAGGGTACGTCTACACTACATGCCTCTGTCGGCAGAGGCATGTAGATTTGTTTGTTCAGCAAAGGTAA